TTGCTGTGAGCTATGATGCCACAGGACTCTATCGAGGGCCACAAAGTGAGACTGTCTCACAAAAAAGAAAAGGAATGCTGAGTAGATAAAATGTATGGCCATTACTCAAGGCCAGCAGAGCCCCTGGCCTTTGTTTTGCTAAAGGGAGAGGGATTCCCACCCCAGTCCATGAGCGCACAGTTATCTGGACTCTGGGGGCAGTGTGGCAGTGTCCCCGTAGTTCGTGGTTGCACAGAGCATGAGCACTCAGGCCTTTTTGCCCCTTTATGTCTGGTCCATCCTAGGGCCAGCTTTTCCATGGAGCAAGTCCTGAGGTCTACGTCGGGCCCTGTCCCTGCTGGGTGGAGCTTCTCTTTCTGAATGCTTGACTTGGCTCAAGGCTTGGCTTGATTTAGTGTCCCCTGCAGTTTCTGAACTTGGTCTGTCTGGCCTGTAATCCTGCCAGGAAAAGGGCCAAGTGGCCAGGCTGGCCCTCGCAGAGGAGGCCATTCTCCTGCATTGCTTCTGAACGCAAAGCTCATGTGTGCATGAAGGGCCAGCTGGTCCCCAGCACACCTGGGTGTGCGTTCCATAAACTCAGAGGCCGGCCCATCACATCCTCCCCTTTGATCTGACCAGCGGCACAGCTCAGCATTTTACAGGGTAATCTTTTCTTCAAATGAAATCTTGCCTGGAAGGATGGTATATGGAGAAGACAAAAGCAGAGTTGCCCTGGGTTGGGTTGGAATGGCCTCATCTCGTTCCCAGCCCCCCAGTTCTACCTCCACAGCCTTAAAGAGTACTTGATGTTGCCAGGGCTCCTTAGCACCCCGTTTGAGAACCTCTGAATGATCCCGTCACCCATCTCTCTGACGCCGTTTCTCTGGGGATAGATTGCTCATGTTTATTGTTTTAAACACCAAAACATTTTTTTCTGTCACTAGCTTGTTTGCACTAAGTGCAAACTAAGGTCAACTAAGTGACCTTTGTCATCTTCCTTCTCTCTGTAGGCTGGTATCAGGCTGTAAGTGTTCCCTAGCTACGTAAAGACTCATTTCAGGTTATTTGTGCCTCAGTTTACCTTCTTCTTGAGGAGCTGCCCCATGGCTGGGGCTTTAGGAAGTTATGAGATGCTGACATCCTGGGCAATACCACTGCCTGTAATGAATACTAAGTTTTTTTATTTTTTTTTTCCTAGAGATAGAGTCTCACTATGTCACCCTGGGTAGAGTGCTGTGACATGACAGCTCACAGCAACCTCAAACTCTTGGGCTTAAGTGATTTTCTCACCTCAGCCTCCCACATAGCAGGGACTACAGGCACCCACCACAATGCCTGGCTATTTTTTGTTGTTGTTGTAGTTGTCATTGTTGTTTGGCAGGCCCGGACCGGGTTTGAACCACCAGCTCTGATGTATGTGGCTGGTGCCCTAGCCATTGAGCTTATAGGAGCTGAGCCTGTAGTGAATACTTTGGATAACTTTCCAGAAAAATGCGCTCATACCAGCAAAAAAAACTCTTGAAATTTATACAAGCGACCAAAGTAAACAAATAACCCCAAACAGAATGTAAACATCCCCAAAGAGGAATGATTTTCCCTGATAGGAGACACCCTGTTTCTGTTCAGTATCAGAAGACCACATCTCCAGGAGGTTTGGTCACAAGTGAGCTGGACATGGGGTGGCCCTGGCCAGGCTTCCGTCCACCGGGGAGAATCCAGGCCTTGGTTTGGCTCCAGCTGGGCCTTCCCTGTGGCTGCCACTTATTGACTTAAGTCTGAGTGATTCAGATGTGTGTCATCTGGAGCACTTCGGGTCACCCCGACCACAGTGGTGGGAGGGAGAGCCACCTCCTCCTCCTCCTGTGTAGGCTCCAGCAGGACCTTATCTGGGTCAAAGCCCCTCCGTTCCTGGTAGGTGTTTCTGGATTTTGTGGCTCCAAGGACTCAGGAAAATGCCTTTGTTTTTCCTGGAGCCAGGGGCCCAGTCCATGCAGGGATTTTCCCAGAACTTTGCTAACTTCCGGGAAGGGTTGTGTCTGTGGGGAGAGAGTGTTTGGTTAATCGTTGACTGGAAACTTGCTTTTCCAGGCTGCCCCAGGTCCTACTGTTTTCAGGAAGAGGCAGCAGGGATTGGAGAAGGGCCAAGGGCCTCCTGGTGCTGCCTTAGGCAGTTGCTACACTCTTTCTACACCATCCTTCGAAATGCCACAGTGGACAGAGATGGACTGGGGAGGGTCAGACCCAGGGGTCATGTGTTGGTAGAAATTAAAGCAGCAGATGGGCCTTGTTGCCAGGAAGAGAATGGGCCATACATCTGTGCAAATTGTAACATTCTGTGGGATAAATGATAAATATTTTATTGCATGTCATGCTGTATGTAGGACTGGAACAGAGGGTGCAGGATTTGTATGCCCCTGGTAGTCACATTTGGGGTCCCCCCCCCAAAAAAACCCAAGGGCCCACAAACAAGGCAAAAATCCAGTGCCTCTTAGAGGGTGTGAGGATTTTATGTGGTATACAGACGAGCATTTAAAATACTTTAATAATTATCTATTTTCATGTGTGTTACATGGTAAGGGCCAAGCGGCTCTTTCTGAATGCTTGACTTGGCTCAAGGCTTG